CGGGCCGGGCCGGGCGCGGGGCCTGCGCGGGCACCGGGGAGGCCCCGCCGGGCCGGGGGCAGAGCCAGGCCCCTCGGGACACTGAGGGGCTGGAGCGTGTCCAGGGCAGGGAACAGAGCTGGGAAGGGGCTGGAGCAGCAGGAGCAGCTGAGGGAGCTGGGAAAGGGGCTCAGCCTGGAGAAAAGGAGGCTCAGAGGGCCCTTCTGGCTCTGCACAACTCCCTGACAGGAGGGGGGGGGGACGGGGAAGGTGTCGGGCTCTGCTCCCAGGGAACAGGGACAGGAGAAGGGGATGTGGCTTTAAGCTGTGCCAGGAGAGATTTAATTTGTATATTGCTAGGATAGATGGGGAAATTTCTTCACGCAGAGCATGAACAGCACTGTCACAGGCTGCCCAGGTCAGTGGTGGAACGCCAGCCCTGGAAGTGTTCAAAAAGCTGTGTGCATGTGGCACTTGAGGGCATGGTTTAGTGGTGGTGGTGCTGATGCTGGGGTAATGACTGAACTTGATGGTCTTAGAGGGCTTTTCCAGCCTTTTCAATTCCATGGTTCTATGATTCTTTATATCCTGGCCCAAACCACCCTGTAAGGAACATGGGATGCTCAGGTGTGGGTCTGCTGTAGGGTCAGTCCCTCTTGGGGACTGACCCTCTTTGTGTCCTGTGGCCACAGGACAGCCTCTGGGGTCAGACCATGGCCACATCCTGCCATTCACCTTTGCTTTTCTAACAAAAGTTCTGGAATTAATCAGTCGTGGGATCCTGTACTCATTTGTTGGTTGCATTAGCACATTTTAGGTGGTGTTTATTTTGTTCATTTTGGTGACCTGAGATCATTGCACTGGTGCTCTCAGGGAAAGGTGGATGTTTTCAGCAGAAACAGGTGGATCTCAAAGATTCTAGGCACTTGATGAACAGGGGCTGCATGAGCACAGGTAGGATTTTTCTGTTAAAATTAGCAGCAGTGAAGCAGTTGACTCTGATGACATTTGATATTTCAGTGTATTGAAATGAATGAGGTGGATGCATGACAAGTCGTGGATTTGGGAATATGAGACACATTAACATAACAATAGTTGATCAGCCAGGTTTTCAACTATCAAGATATTTTGTACAGCCTGAAAAATCATATCAGAATCTTCTCTGCCATGTCTCCAGCAGCCAAAGCGTATGGATGCTAACTGTGAAGCGGGCAGCACAGTGCCTGTGGAAATTGCAGGCCACGTAACTTTCTCAGTCTTGCCTGGGAAAGTGGCCTGGGAAATCATAAGGAGGGATTAAAACAATCCTCAGAGATAGAAAACAGCCTTGCAGGTGCTGTCTGTTCCTTGTTTTCTTGCAAGAGAAGGTCGAGGGGTGGTGTACCCCACTGACCAATGATGGTGGTGTGTTAGTT